CAACAAATTCACACTTGACAGTCGCGTATGAATTTCATTTTCTCTTACTAAGTTGCTTAATCAGTTCAGTTTTCGATCGAAGAAAACTAAGTGCATTTTATTGGAACCACTCAACTTCAAACCAGTGCAAGAATAATAAAAGTGGCAACCACAGTACCGTATGATATTGTGGGCGCGACTGCGGACTCCTGAAATAACTATCCAATATGTGCTGATTTCCTAGAGTTTTGTAGATAATAAATTTGATGAGGAATGTTTCCATATAATTAGATGTTGTTCAGCGTACATACTCACTGGGATGTGATTTTGTTCATTTGAAGTAATTTTACAATTTCCACTGCGATGGGGATCGAGTATTATCATCATCGAACCAACGTCAGTTAGTCTGGATTATCATATTCCACCGTACTAAGATAATGTGGAAGTGGCACACATATATTTTCTACCCTGTTGTGTTTATCGACTTTATCCCCATGAATGCAAACGCACCTAGAAGTGAATGAAGCTGCAAAGTTTATTCATGAAGCTGCGTAACATGGCAAAATAGTAATTCGTATAAAAAATGAGCTGCTGGAAATTATCAGGTACTTAGGAAACTATTGTCTGATTATCATGCAGTAGTCAAGAATTGTAAGTTGCGAGTACAAAGTTTAGTTACTTACCAGCAGCATATTATTAAGAAAAAGGTCTGAGGCAAATACCTATAATCGCAAAATTCTCATTGGGTTTTACACTCACATTTACAAAATATCCAGCAAAGCCAGTTAGTACCGACATTATTATTATTATTACAATTACGATTATATGTGCCTTCTGTTCCTAGTGGAACTAAGGGCTTGAGTAGCACGTCTCCATTTCACTCTGTTCTCCGCAGTCTTGTCAACCTGCCACCACGACTGCCCACAACCTTTCATTTCTTCCTCACATGATCTCCTCCATGTCACACTCGCCGCGAACGCCCAACTCGTCGTCCCCCATTCGGGTTCCACTCGAGGGCCTGACTTGGTGTGGCACGTGATGTCCCCGAATGGTCTCTCAGTGTATCCCCAATCTAATCCATCTCCACTTTCTTCTGCATATTTGTTGGGCAATGGCTTCTTGGTTGGTCCGTTGTCAGCTAGCCAGTCAGCCAGTCAGACATCCAGAGTTCCTTGTTGCTTATTCTTTTTATTCTGGCCATCTGATCACCATCTTCTGTATCGAGTGAGCGTAGGCGGCAGCTGTTGATCTGATGTATGTATGTATGTATGTATGTAGTTTGTTGGAAATGTTTTTCGTGAGGCGCCAAGTTTCTGAACCATCACATAGAAGCACTGACTTACTTGATTGAATTAGTGTTGAGAATCCGGATGTTGTCCACGCTTTATGCTGAGTGTAGTGAAGTAGATCTCCACACTGCTTTCAGGTTAATCAACGCCTGTCTTGCTGTCTTTCCGATCCTGGCTGGCTTTGACGTCCTCATCTGTGTCTGTGCCGCCTGTAGTTGGAACGCCGCTGCCTAGGTGGTAGGTGAAACAGACTACTTCCTTTGGGTTTCTCCCGTTCATGGTGACTGATGCTTGCTGTTGTTGTTGTTGTTGGTTGTTGGTTGGTTGGATATCTTCATCACCTCTATCTTCTCTACATTCACTTGAAGTCCCGTGTTCGCTGCCTGGCCTCTTCTGTCAACTTGTTGGTTTTTGCCTGTAGATCTTCGAATTTGTGCCACATTAAACATAAATCATCATCGGCCAAATCTAAATCTTCTAGGCCCTGTTCATCGGTCATCAGCATATGACCCTCTTCTCACTCGTCACAGTTTGTTGCATCATCCGGTCTGGTCGACCATAATCAGGAGGATGATCGGTGATAGTTGGCGGCAGCCTTGTCTCACTCCTGTCTTCACTTCAAAGGCGTCACTGAGCTTTCCATTGTAAATCACTTGGCATGTGGCGTCTTCATATAGCTGTTGAATGAGGTTGATAAAGGTTTGTGGTACTCTGTAGTGTTGTGAAAGCTGCCTGTCAAATTACTTCTCAGTCGACGCTGTAGAAGGCCTTTTCAAAATCGATGAAGTTGAGTCGACTGCCACTCTATGCTCTGTTCTATGATGATGATGATGATGCATAGCGTAGCGTTGCAATTTCATCCGCACATGATTTGTTTTTCATGAAGCCAGCCAGTCAGCCTGTTCCAGTAGTAATTCTGAATCAAGCTCACCTTTTAATCCCTCCAGGATGATGCGGCATGATATTTTGCTTGGAGTGGACAACAGCATGATTCCGCGCCAGTTGTTGGAAACACTTAGGTTTCCCTTGTTTGGGAGTTTGACAAGTTAGCCAATCTTCCAATCGGCAGGTACATTTCCTTCCTTCATTGCAAACCTTCTGCAGTAGTGGTGTGAGCATGTCGGCTGATGTCTCTGCGTCTGTTTTCAGTGCTTCTGGTGGAATTCCATTTAGTCCTGCTGCTTTCCCGAATTTCAGCAACTTCACTTCTACTTTTGTTGGTGGGTCTGTGTTCATTGATAGTTCTGTGGCTCGGCTGCTGGTGGTGGTGGTGGTGGTGGTGGTGGTGGTGTCCGATTCAAGAGTTTTCTGAAGTGGTCAGCCCATCGTTTCCTTTGTTTCTCCTCTTTGATAACTAGGCTTCCTTCACTATCTCTCATTGGTTTCATCTGTGTTGATCACTTCCCAGATAGTATTTTGGTTTCCTCGAGGATGTTGCTCAATGTCTCCCATTTTTTCCTGATGGCTGACTGATGTGAAGATCTCCTTTGTAGTCTCGTCCTTCAGTTGAATTCAGTTTTTGTTCTGGGTGGTTGTTGAACTTGAACTGTGGCCTATTACCAGCTTCTTGTTTGAAGGCTTTCAACTTGATTTTGAATGCAGGTCGCTTGCACTAGATAGTCTGGTGGTGTGAACCTATATCTGCTCCCCTTCTTGATCTGATCTTGTGTCCAGTAGACTACGTCTCCACTTTCTTCACATTGAGATGAAGTTGATCTGATTTTTAGTGTGTCCATCTGGTGTCTGGTGAAATCAAATTGATGTCGCTTTGTGAATGTCCTTGTGTTTGTACACAGTGCCTGCAATCACTGAATCGTTGAATGCGCAGAAGTCTGCAAACAGTTCTCCATTCTCATTCCTCATTTCACCGAGTGCTTCTCAACCCATGATGAGTTCTCCCAGTTCGGCTTGCATTCATGTCACCCATTAGAATGAAGTTTGATGTCGCCATCTGGAGTGGGGTCTTGTCCAGTACTGATTGCAGTTGTCTGTAGAATTCCTGCTTCTTCTCTTGATCTGCATTATTTGTAGGTGCGTAGCGTAGTGTAGCATTGTATGATTGTGACTTTCTTTCCTTTTGAGTTGAATCTCGCTGTCATGATGCTGATCGTGGAGGAGGAGATTGGTTCCCATTGTATGAGAGAGAGCTTTCAGTGCTCTTGGGGACATCATGGTAAGCACTCGAAAACTCAGTGTGCTCGTGGTTGTCGTCTGGGTGACAATATCGGAGTAGATTATTGACTCTCCAGTTGACAGTTGAGAGAGTCCACTTCCATTCCATCAACTGTCTCAGATTCCCAACCTGGCACTTCTATGCTATACCTTCTCATCTCTTTCTCAATCTGGTCAGCTTTGCCAGTCAGCTTCAAACATTGTGTGGATATTTCCATATGATCATGTTTACTTTTGCTTTCATGGAAAGGAGAGAAGACATATGGACCAATTGGTTTCCCGAAGTCTTTCACCAACTGGGGTCTCGGTCTCGTCTTTCGGATTCCAGAGAGGAATAAGTTTAATTTTATGTTTCATATTTTGTTTGTGCTTTGAAGTTTCTTTAGTGGTTAGATTGGTTTTCGGGGGTAGGGTTGCTAGTCTTATGCCCAGCCTTCTCTTTTCATCCGGGCTTAGGACCCGCTAGTTACTAGTGAACTAGTTAA